CACATACAATTGACAAAAGATTAGTATCAATAATATATTTTAAAGGAAGAGAAGAAAACCTGAATGAATGACTAATTAATATATGAAAAAATGCACAATTTTATCAGCAATTGTTGTTGTTGTGTGCCGTGGAGTTGATTCCGACTCATAGTGACCCTACAGGACAGAGTAGAACTGCCTCATAGGGTTTCCTAGGGTGTAATCTTTACCAGAACAGATCGCCAGGTCTTTTCTCCTGTGGAGGCAATGATGGGTTCAAATCGCCGACCTTTAGATTAGTATCTGAGCGTTTTAACCATTGTTCCACCAGGGCTCCTTTATCAGTAAGTAAAAACCCGAAAAAACCAAACCTGTTGCCGTCCAGTTGATTCTGACTCATAGCGACCATATAGGACAGAGTAGAACTGCCCCATAGGGTTTCCAAGGAGCAACTGGCGGATTTCAACTGCTGACCTTTTGGTTAGCAGCCAAGTTCTTAACCACCAATTAAGACCATAATGTGGTACTGATTTATTCTCAATAGACTGGCAAAAATTAAGACGTCTGCAATAACCAGCACTGGAGAGAATGTAGAACAACAGGAAAGGCTGATTAATGCTAATAGCAGTGTAAACTGGTACAACCACTTTAGAAAACAATTCAGCATGATCTTGTAAAGCTGACCACCTCCATACCAAATGACCCAGCAGCGAAACCACTAGGATGCTCTGGCACGTATACAAGAGGCGTGCACCAAACGCATTGCCCTTGAGTTGATTCCAACTCATAGTGACCCTATTGCCCCACAGGGTTTCCAAGGAGCAGCTGGTGGATTCGAACTGCCAACCATTTGGTTAGCAGCTGAGATCTTAACAACTGGGCCACCAGGGCTCCTTAGAGGCAAGCACAAGACCACTTAATGGATAAACTACTATATAGCCTTGTTAGTAATGGCCTGGGGCCAATGCAGGTTTTTTGGGGCCTGAGTTGGTATAACTGGGGGAGGTGGGACTCTTCAAACAAATGATACAGAATTCTAAAGAACAGTTAAGTTCAGAAGTTAATATTTGTTTATAATAAGAAAAGAATTCACCACAAATTAAAACATTACGAAACTCAGAAAAGTATAATATTTTTCATTATCTCACACATCTCTAGAAGAGCCCTGGTGGTGCAGTGGTTAAGTGCTCGCTGCTAACTGCAAGGTCGGCAGTTTCAACCCACCAGCCACTACACAGGAGAAAGATGTGGCAATCTGCTTCCCTAAAGATTACAGCCTTGGAAGCCCTCTGGGGCAGTTCTACTCTGTCCTATAGGGTCGCTATGAGTTGCACGCGACTAGATGGCAACACGTGTATCTTTTTCCCTTCAGTTTTTGGCTGCACACTCTTTGATCCCCTCTTCATGTAGTAATAATTTCTGTAATATTGTTTTATAGACAGACAATAAAAAGATAATGAAGTCTTCTAGCATGATTTGAGATGTTTTATATTATTGATATTTGGGGTGCAAAAAATAAAGTCCAGCAGCAGACTCAAACTCAGGAGGTCGGATAAATTTCACTATGTGTAATTCCCATCAATAAAGAAAAAATGTAAAGTGCATTTATAATCATACCTACGGCAGTAATGTATACAATCCTGAAAGAAGAAAATTTCCATTTGACCAGCCTTTGGTCAGAACTGGATTCTCTGCTTACAATTTTAGACGTCTGATGACTGAGAGAATTTTCTACAGACAACTTTCTGGCTCTCCACATTTCAAACCCTGTTTTTCCTCTACTATCTACATAGCTCTGGAGCTGGGCACTGCAGGACACATTCATATCCAGATAGGACATCTGTCCCTCCACCTTCCTACTCTGAAATGAATAGCAATAGTCTAAGAAGAACAAACATAAATACCCTCCATTGAACCCAAGTAAAAGTATCCTTTACTCAATTCTACATTCTGCTCAAACCTAGAATGCCAGCCATCATTCAGCACTGCCCAACATGAGGGGAATAGTTGAAAGAGGGGAGGCTGGAGTGTAAAGAGAAAGTAGTCCTAATCCACTGTGGTTTTAAATATCTTACTTTTACAGATTTTACAAAAACACGTGACCATGTGAACACACTGCCCAGGGCTCTGCTTTTAGAGCTATAGAAGGAGCCCATGTGAGCGGTCCTGAAGCTTAACTCCATTAGGTTCATGGTGAATTTGCCTCTAATAACAAAAAAGGAGATAACTCGTGTCCACAGGAAAAATGGATAAACTACTATATATAAGCTACATTTTGTTAGGTGCTCTCGAGTGGATTCCGACTCATAGCGACCTTCTAAGGCAGAGTAGAACTGCCCCATAGGGTTTCCAAGGAGCGGCTGATGGATTTGAACTGCTGACCTTTTGGTTAGCAGCTGAGCTCCTAACCACTACGCCACCAGGCCTCCATATAAGCTATAGTCACTCAATCAGTGAAAATAAATGTTTTAATGCTACACTTAACAAATCAGAGACGAATGCTGAGTGATTAAAAGCAAATCCCAGAAGGCTACACACACAGTGTACTGTTATAAAACTCAAAAGAAAATATGTTGTTTAAGGTTGTATCAAAATATGATAAAACTACTAAGAATGGTAAGGGAAGTACGAACAAAATTCAGGATACTGGTGGTGGGGTAAGAGGCAAAAGGCAGAATACTGGTAATGTGGTGGATTCAGATTTTCGTTTTATTATTATGCTTTAAAACTTAGGTGTTTGTTAAATATGTCGTTTGTATTCATCAAATATTAGATTGAAAAAGTTTAAAACACTTTCAGTGCAACAAAATACAACTACTTCTCAGGACATCAACCTCAGCTTTTCTTCTTTCTCTCCCTCTGCCTTCTACGACCTTATTTCTCAACTACCAGATGCTAAGGGCACGTGGCTCCAGAAGCTGGCAAAGCAGAGAAATGGCAGCTTACAGGGGCCAAGAACCGTGACTTGGGTTTTCTTGTTATTGTTTGGGGTAAGAGTTATTCCCCCAGTAACAGCAGAATAGGGTTTTCTGGCCCGACGCGGCCTCTGCCCCTCCCTTTTACCCTCAAACTTGCCCCCTTCTAACTGTGCCAGGCCTCCGCGCCACCCCCTCCTTCTTTTTGGGCGGTCTGACGCATTCTCAGGCCCAGCCCACGATTACGTAAAATCTCCCAACAGGAGCTCCAAAACCGCCCTTCAACACAGAACAGGCCAAGCCCAGCCAGAGGTGGGTTTTAAAGGGAAGAGGAGTACCGGGCTCCAAACCTTACCATCCACCTGGAGGGAGCAAGGGGGCGTGGAAAAGGCACGGAGCTTCCTGCGACCGCCCCTCCTTCCTTCCTCCGGACCCCTCGGCCTGCTCCCAGCCAGACTCCGCCTCCCGCGGTGGCTCCGCCCCCTCGCCGCGCTAAAGGCGCGCCGCTGCCCCTTCCCAAAACCCGGAGAAGTGGATTCCGCGCTCCGTTCCGCCCCGCCCAAGTCGTAGTCTAGACGAGCCCCTCCGGGCTCGTCGGCCGGAAGCCCGGCCCAGCGCCTCGAAGCGGGAGTCGTTCCCGAGCACGAGCGGATGCGGCCCCAGGTCCGCGCGGGTGAGCGTGCCGCGGGCCCCGGCAGCTCGGGCCTCCTTCCCGTCCTGCTCCCCAACTTTCCGGGATCCGGGTCGCTAGGCCGCCGCGGCAAGATGTGTCTCCCTCCCCCAAACTCCCCATCCCGGTCCTTAGTCCGGAACCCGGCACCCACCTCCCCGTCTCCTAGCAGCGCCGTTACGTGTTCGCGCTTCGGGGATGTGGGGCCGCTAGGCAAGGGTGCCGGGCGACGCCCGAGGCGGGAATCGGGAGCGCGCGAGGCGGGCGTTGGCGACGGTTGGAGGGTGTGCCGCCCGCTGGCCCTGCTGGAGTGGTTCCGTTTCGCCATTTGAGGACTTCGAGTTCCAAGCTCTTCCCTGCTTACATAGCGCCTTCCCCATCCTTACCCTACCCCTGACATTCCCGGAGACTTACGATAGTAATTCTAGATCCTCATTTGCATTTTTGTTGAAATTTTTCTGGAAAGTGGACTGTGACAAATTTATCCTAAGAAATTTTTTTTTGGAAAAAATTTATTCGATAGTGTCAAAATCAGGTTAAAATCTTCTCTATCAACCACTATCATTTTGCAGAAACATATTTTTGTGGTAATAGGTATAGTTATGATTGACTGTTTGGACTCTGGAGCCAGAGTACCTGGATTCTAACAGTTAAGAATTGTGTGAACTTGCACAAGTAAATCTCTCTGAGGCTCAATTTCCTCATGTGTAAAATGAGCTTATACTATGTGTGTGCATATAAGGTATACTAACCTAATTTTGGAAACCCTGGTGGCATAGTGGTTAAGTGCTAGGGCTGCTAACCAAAAGGTTAGCAGTTCAAATCCACCAGCAGCTCCTTGAAATCCTGTGAGGCAATTCTAGTCTTGTCTTGTACGGTTACTGTGAGTCAAAATCCACTTGAGGCTTTGGGGTTTGGTTTGGTTAACCTAATTTTGGTGACGAAGTGGTTATGCGCTGGGCTGTTAACTAGAAAGTCGATGGTTTGAACCCACCAGCCACTCTGCTGGAGAAAGATATGGCAGTTTGCTTCTGTAAAATTTACAGCCTTGGAAACCCTATGGAGCAATTCTACATAGGGGTCGCTATGAGTCAGAATTGATTGATGGCAGTGAGTTTGTTTTTTGTTTTTTTTTTTTGGTACTAAGCTTATTTACATGGTTGTGAGTCTGAATCAACTCTAAGGCAAACACTAACATAAAATACTAAGCACTGATACACATAATAAGTGCTATAAATGTGTTAGCTATTACATAAAAATAGTATTTTTCTCTATGGCTTCTGTGGCTTTTAAGATTCTCATTGGAAGACCCTCAATGAGATGGATTGATGCAGTGGCCGCAACAGTGGGCTCAAACATAGCAACGATTGTGAGGATGGCTCAGGACGGAGCAGTGTTTCATTCTGTTGTACACAGGGTTGCTATGAGTCGAAACCAACTCCACAGCACCTAACAACAACAATTGTGAAGTATCCCCCCTGTTTTCTTTTGTGAAAATATAATTGAAGAATTCATTCCAAAATTTTTATAATAACTGATATTTCAAATTAAAGTAGTCAGTAAACCAGAAAGACTCTGTGCACAGGCTGTATTAAGGAGTGTGCAATGTTTCACCGTTGGTACGTGTGACAGATTGACTCTGTGTTTTTCCTGGAGGAAATTCGTGAATGGAAGAAAAGCTGGGTGTAAGTAGCGTCATGATGTCTTCTGAATTCCTTTGAGTCTAAGTTTAGGGACACTAGACTGATCTAGGGTCGTCATGTGGTACTTTATGTAAGGTGTGAAATTTCCTGAGAGTTAAATAAATTTTTTTATATAATTTCTTCAACAGAATATTGAAAGATGTTTGTTCCAAGATCTCTAAAAATCAAGAGGAACGCTAATGATGACAGCAAAGGTTGCGTGGCTAAGAAAACTAAATCACAAGCAGAAGACCTTCAGTTGGATGAAGGCAGAGATGCTGCAGAGGTTTTAGTTACAAAAGAAGCTTCCACACTGGACAGGCCCAGCCCTGAGTCAGGCCTCTTCCCCAGTCCTGGTGACCAGTTGGCTGAGGTTTGTTTGGTAGGATCTGAGCAGGGTACAAAGGACAGTGATCTTTCTGAGGAGCCTGTGAAGTCATTTTCCAAAACACAGCGCTGGGCAGAACCTGGAGAGCCAGTCTGTGTTATCTGTGGGCGTTATGGAGAGTATATCTGCGATAAGACGGAAGAAGATGTGTGTAGCTTGGAGTGTAAAGCAAAACATCTACAAGTTAAGGAAAAGGAAGAGAAAGGAAAACTTAGCAGTCCACAAAAAGCTGATTCTGAGTCAGAATCTCTGTTTAGTGCTTTTTATATCTATAAAGAGCACCCCTTTATTTTGAACCTTCAGGAGGACCAGATTGAACATCTTAAACAGCAGCTGGGAATTGTAGTTCAAGGGCAAGAAGTCACCAGGCCCATTATTGAGTTTGAACACTGTGGTTTCCCTGAGGCTTTGAATCACAACTTGAAGAAATCAGGCTATGAAGTTCCAACCCCCATCCAAATGCAGATGATTCCTGTTGGACTTCTGGGAAGAGACATCCTGGCCAGTGCTGATACTGGCTCAGGAAAAACGGCTGCCTTTCTTCTTCCCGTTATCATTCGAGCTTTATTGGAGGTAAGTTAAATTTCATGTGTATTAGTCTCAGAAACAAGTGAAATTTAGCATGTTTCGTCCTTGACTAAGGAGCCCTGGTGGCTTAATGGTTAAGCACTTGGCTGCTAACCCAAAGGTTTGGCAGTTTGAACCCACCTAGCTGCTCTGCAGAAGAAAGACCTGGCGAACTGCTCCCATAAAGATTACAGCCTAGAAATCCCTTTAGGGTGGTTCTGCTCTATCACATGGGGTCGCTATGAGTTGAAGTTGACTCGACAACACCTAATAGCACCATTCTTAACTATATTAAAGTTGGAAACAAAAACTAAATATTTAAAACTTAGGGAGTTTGTCTTTTATTATATTGAACCGAAGATCTCTTCATTGAAGGTCTGAAAAAATTGCTTTCCTTATAAAATGTTACATTTTTAACCAATTTTCTATCAAAGGAATAAGCTTTTGGTTTGGTGGGGATGGGGAGGATCCAGCTGACCAGACGGTGCAATTTTTGTCTCAGTTTAGCTGCCTTGGGTTTTGTGTTTTAAAGAAACTAACTGATTTATACCAAAGTTGGAACACTATCCTGGGGTTTCATGATATACCTTTAAATGTGATCTGTGGTTCGTCTTAAAATACTGTCTTACTTGTTAGCTTATAGTGTATAAAACACTTTGTACACATAATTAGTTTAAAAAACATTTTGAGTATTTGCCAAGTACTGGTGACCTTGTGGTGCAGTGGTTAAGAGCTACAGCGAGTTACGGCTGCTAACCAAAAGGTCGGCAGTCGGATCCACCAGCAGCTCCTTGGAACCTCTATGGGGCAGTTCTACTCTGTCCCGTAGGGTCTCTATAAGTTGGAATGGACTTGATGGCAGTGGGTTTGGTTTTTGGTGACATTGTGAGGGAAGGAGGGAAATGAATGAAAAAATGTGGGCAAAGAGGAAAAATAAAGGGGGAAAATTTGGAAAAACTAAAGAGTAGTAGAAAATAATGTGAGGAAAAAATAACAGAAAGCACTAGATGATCAAAACATAGGTAAAACTCTTGAGGTGCAAAATATAGCTAGAGAGCAGGGAATAAGGTATTTATATTTAAAGTTAGTTGTATAAGAAAGAAGTGAATGTACAGGAGAGCTAAGAGAGAAAAATGAAGGGTGGAATGGCAAGTATTAACCAGGTCTCACGGTGCCTACCAGGTTTTCTGTTCAGAGGAGATCTAGAAGTAAACCCTCAGTTTTCCCACTCTAGTTAACGTGGACACCTCGTAGTAAGGGCCCTTTCTTGCCCCAATTGTGATCTTTTGTTGTTTTCTGTAAAAAATGAGTTCATTTATAATGGCTTTGAAGAAAAAAATCTGTAGGGAGCAAAAACCCTAAGAATTGGGCTGAGGGGAGTATATAAAAGGGAAATGTTCCTGGAATCCCTGCGGAATTTAGTTCATAGATCAGCAGGAATTCCTTGTGTTTTTAGACTTGTTTTTCATATCTTTGCAGGACAGAACTCCATCTGCACTTATTCTGACACCAACAAGAGAGCTAGCCATTCAGATAGAGAGGCAAGCTAAAGAATTGATGAGTGGGCTGCCTCGCATGAAAACAGTGCTTCTCGTAGGGGGCTTACCCTTACCCCCCCAGCTTTATCGGTTGCGACAGCGTGTTAAGGTAAGCATGATTTGGTAGCATACCTTTGAAAAGTTCTGTACACGATATAGAAACTAATTTTCTTTCCCTTCAGGGACTTCCGAGTGTGATTTTGGGAATCCTTTATGTTCTTGCCCAGTAAGCATTAATTTTTTTAGCGGTTGTTTTATGTAGGAGAGGAAAGGAACACAATTTATTGAGTGCTTGTTGTATGCCAGACACTGCTGGGTGTTTTCACATGCATTTTCTCATTTAACCATCACATTGTCTCTTGGAGGTGGGTTGCCATGTCCCATCTCAGAAAGATGAGATTTATCTAAAGATCCATAGCTAATAAATGGTGGTTGCCAAGGTTGAAACCTTAATTTCCCTGACTTTGCTCCTTCCTCAGCTGTGCTATTGTATGTACACCTTCTTCTGTTAGTCTATATTTTCTGATGTCTAAAAATATGTAAAGGCATTGTGGTCTGCTTCTAGCTTTGGAACTTTATGGCAGTGTGACCATAGATAAGTTACTTAATTTCTGTGAGCCTCAGTTACCTTGGTTTGAATGTGCAATTGAAGATACTTGACTACCTCATGAGGTAGGAGTGTTATTCAAAATGTTTAATGCAAGGTTTGGCACAAGTGCTAACCAATCAAAATGGACTGTAGCCTTGGTGCTGGAGATAGGTCCTGGAGGCCCCCTGCTGTTCCAGGCATTAACCGTTTAGTTACTGGAGGGTGGAAGGGGTGGGGAGGTCCTGGAGTGCTGCAGGGAAGAGCTGAGGTGACAGGGAATGGTGGGTAGGAGGAGTCAGGGGGCTTGAGGCAATAGTTATTTACCAGCAGGGATGGAACTACTGCAGTATTCAACAACTTATGTGGGTGAATATCAGCCTTTCTTATGTTTTGAGGTTAAAATGAGACATATTTGACAGATTTAAAACATGTAGAATGTAATTTTAAGAAATTGCAGGTTAAGTAATGGGATATTGGATCATTGTGACCCTCCAATATATAAAACAGATAAAGGTTAAATAAAATAGGTTTTATTATTAAAAAATTTTAAGTTCAGCACTATATACTTTTAAAGTAAACAACAACAACAAATATATATATATATA